ATATATCTAGAAGAAATTAAGGAAAAACTCTAATAATTATAGAAAAAGACTATTAAAAAAAATATTATAACTCTTATTATAAACCTATAGAGTTTAAATAAGAAGACTTTATAATATTATTTATTAAAAACCTTAAATTAAAGAAAAAGAAAAAAAAGTTATTACCTAGATATATTAGATTATTTAAGATCCTTAAGAAAATTAATAAATAAATATATTATTTTATATTCTTAAATAAATACTCTTAATTATATAATATCTTTTATATTAGCCTTCTTAAGCCCTAGGTATAATACTAGGGATTAAATATAAAAAGTCTATTAATATTTAACCTTAAAGAAAAAAAAAGGAATATAAAATTAAAAGAATTAAATAAGAAAAAAAGATTAAAGGCTAAATATATTATCTTATTAAGTAAAAAGAATAATTAATAAAATATAATTAATAAATTAATATAAATAATATAGAGAATATATAAGAAATAATTTTAAATAATAAAAAAGCCTCAGAAAAATATAATAAAAAAGAAATAAAAATATAAGATAAATATAATAAAAAATATATTAGAAAATTAATTAAATTAAAATAAATAATAATTATTATAGATATTTATAAACCTAACTAAATTATTAGATTAAACCCCTAAAATATTAATAAAATTATATTATATAAGTAAGGAATTTAAGGATTATAGGGGTTAAGAAGCCCTTATTATTACTTAAGGAGATTAGCTTAAAGATTAGCGCGAGACCTAATATTACTATTAAGGTAAATAATAGCCTTAATCTTATAATAAAAGGTAATTTATATAATAGCCTAAGTAATATACCTAATATTAAAAAGATATATATAAAGAGTCTAAGAGTAGTATTAATAAGTCTAAATAAGATTAAGCTAAAGAAATATTAATAAAAATATAGAGAAACCTTAAGAAAGAATTAAATTTATTATGATTATATAAGAAGCTAAGAAAGAAATAATAAGTAAAATATAATAAATAATAACAATAGACTTATATATAATAAAGGACTTTTATAATTAAGAAAGGATTAATATATTATAATAAAAGATAGAAAAAGATATAACTTATATAGCTAGATTTCTTTATTTTAATAAGGCTATATTTAAAATAATAAATAATCTTAAAGGTATTAAAAGCTTAATAAAAATAATTTAAAGCTATTATAAAATAATAAAAAGTAATAATATTATAAAAATAGGAATTAATAATATTATTATTAATACCTAGTATAATAAGCTTAATATAAACCTTATTTATATATATAAATATATAATAAAGCTTATAAATATTACCTTTAAGGATTATAGAGGGGCTTTACTAAGGATTAACTAAGGTTTACTTAAAGAAAATAAATTAAAAGGTAAAAATAGAAATATTTACTTAAGATAGCTATTATTATCCTTATTATATTTAATATAATAAAAAGAAATAATATCTTAATATTTATATTTAATTAAGATATATTTAAAGGGATATATATAAGAGTTTCTAAAGTTAATAAGTTTAGCTTCTTACTTTATAATAAAATAAAAATACTTTATATATTAAGAATTAATATTAATAGGAGCTATATAATTAATATAATTAGTCTTCTTATAAGTAAATAATATATTAACCTCGAAATAAGAGGAAATTAGGGGGATATTAATAAAGAAATACTTAGATAAATATTATAAAAATAAAATTAAATAAAGAAAAAATATAACTAAGAAAAATTTTATTATTATTATTTAAGAGATAAGATAAATTATTATAAAGATAATAATAAATCCCCTTTTTATTATTATAAAAAATAAAATAAAAGTAGGCTTTATTATTAATAAAAAGGAAGCTATCTTTATTAATAGCTATTAGCTATTTAGTAATATTAATAAAGTTTTAATATAGACCTATTTCTAGCTAAGATATCTAGCCTAGGAGGGGGGGATAATTATTATGCTATTTTATATAAACTAATATAATAACTAGCTTATATATCCCTAGCTTTTTAGAGGGGCTTTATAAAGGAAACCTTTATCTTTCGCTATGGCTTCTATTATCTTAGATCTAGTAAGCTTTAGTCTAATATAATTATTTTACCTACCTAGCTTTCTATAACTTAAGAAGTCATAGCTATAACATATTACTAGAAATTAGCTAGCTATAGGTCTTATATAACTACCCTTAAAGCTATTATATAAGATCCCGCTTAATAATCCGGAGGGTAAGCTAATCTTCCTCCCGGCGGGGGTAGCTCCGGGCTGGCTAGGCCTCTATTAAACCGGCTATAGCCTCAATTGCTTAATTAATTAAGCTTGCCTGATATAGCATTATCTGACTTTCCCCTCTTTTCATTTAATGCCTTGCGCTATTCCTATTTAAGACTAGCCTTAGTCATATGACCTCCCTTTTTCCTTTCCGAGGCTCGTAACCTATATCTAAAGTGCGTATATATAATAGGTTCGGTTTAATATACCCCCCTAGATTAGAAATCCCTTAATAGTCTAACTATCCCTAGCCTTATCTTAGAATACCTACCTTTTATATCTCTAGAGTTAATATCGCTATTCCTCTGATAGTATTTATAGCTTCTTAAGTCGGTGCGCTATACGCTTAATTATTAGTCTTATTATTATATAGTTGCGAGGTTTAAAACCTTAAGATAAATCTCGTATAATATATCTATATCTCTTTTTTAGGCTTCCTCGATTAATCTTATAGTTTAAGATACCTTATTGCTTTAGCTTCCTCCTAGGTAGTCTTAGTATCTTAATCTCTGCCTTAGACTTATTATCTAATTAGACTATTATTTAAACCTAGTGCTATAAGTAAATCTTTCTTTTAAACTTAATATATTAGGTAGATCCTTTAGTGGCCTCTTATTTATTGGGAATAAATATTATTTAAGTCTTTTGCGCCTTATACTTTAGGTCTAAGCCTCGATAGGTATATTGCCTCTTCTTTTTTCTCTTTAACCCATAGGCCTCTCTTTTTGCCTCTTAGGCTTATTTATTACTTTTAATAGTAACGAGGTCTATTTGGCTTATTAGTAGCTTATAAGCTTAGGTTTAGGGTCTTTCTTTTGGTTTAATTGTCCTAGAGAGATATAAGTAAGCTAACCTCTCTTTTAAGTCTCTTTATCTTTATTGAAGTCTCTTATAGAGTTCTTATATTTCTTTATTCTCTTCTAGGTATTTTTTCTACTAATCTATCTATCTCTTAGATAATTAATATTTCTCTAGTACTCCTTTTAGAAAGGTAACCTAATATAATCTTATGTTTAGGTATCTATACTATCTTTCATAGAGTATATATTCCTCTTATAGTCCTTAAGAGGGATAATAAGCCTTTATAGGTCTCTTTGCCTCTTTATTAAGTAATAATAGGCTTCGCTTATTATATTTATTATCTAAGCTTTAAATTCCTATTCTAAGGTTCTCTTTTGCGAGTAAGGCTATATCCTCTATCTTATCTCTCCCTTAGTTAGTTTAAATCTCTTATTAGAATTATATAGAGAAGTCTAATAATTAGTAGGTTTTTTTCTTAATCTTCTCTTTATTTTATATTTTTTTAACTTAGATAAATACTTTAAAGTAATTATTAAGAATTTCTTTTAAGTTATTAAATTATATATTAAGGTACTTTACTTTAGCTATTCCTCTAAGCTTCGCGATTTATATTATTTATTCCTAATTAGTAATTTAATCTTCTTAGTATATTATATTACTTAAAGCTACTTTTAATACTTTAAAATATTATTTCTAAGCTTATTTTCTTTTTAGGGTATTATCTATGCCGCATATAGCTTTAAGATTTAAGTAGAACCTTAATATATTATTATATTTATCTAATTTATTAGTAATAGGGGAGTATATCTTAATATAATATAGATTAATCTTCTTAATTATTTAATTAAGTATATTATTAATCTTATTTACTTATTTATTATATTTATATTAATCTTATTAATATAGAGCTATCTCTATTTAATATAACTTTTAGTCTTTAAGGTATAATTCGCTAATTATAATCGTAGCGTATTTGCCTCTTTTAAGCCTTATAGTCCCTAATCTAGTCTTAGGTCTTACTCTTATAGGGTAATTAGTTATTTCGGGTCTCGTTAGTGCCTATATGCGGCGGGTATTAAATTAGCTTAGGTCGTCTAGTTAACCTAGCTCGTAGACCTTTTCTGCCGAGATCTTTATAATATAGGACTATTTAAAGGAGTCCTAGTCATTTGGTCCGTTTAGGAGGTATATATTCTTTATATTCGCGATAGAGGCTATCTTATCGCGGCTCGTATATTATTATCGAGGTTAGTTTAGTCGGTTTAATGCTTATATTAATAGTTATAGCTGCCTTGAAGAGAAGTATAGCTCTAAGACTCTTAATTATTAAACCGGCTATGGCCTTAATTGCTTAATTAATTGAGCTTACCTAATATAGCATTATCTGACTTTCCCCTCTTTTTATCTAATGCCTTGCGCTATTCCTATTTGAGACTAGCCTTAGTTATATAACCTCCCTTTTTCCTTTCCGAGGCTCGTAACCCATATCCGAAGTGCGTGTGCATGATAGGTTCGGTTCAACAGCCTCCGAGCACCTTCTGGCGGGTATCCTTTCTATACTTTGGGGACTACAGTGTCCCTAATAAGAACGCCGCATTAAAGGAGAGTTAAAAGTCACTGCTAAGCTAAAAAGCATAGCGCGCGCTACTTTAATTAGTAATGCTTCCCTTTATATTGCCTTATAGCTAACTTAATATGCCCCTTTAGCATATAGGTACCGCCGGCATGCTAGCTTCTCTATCCCCTTATAGAGCCCCCTAAGCTTAATATATACTCTGGGATTTAAATATTAGGCCTTGGTAAGTTAGCTTTAAGAGCGAATAAGACTCTTAATTATCAAAAGTCACTACTAAGCTAAAAAGTATAGCGCACGCTACTTTAGTTAGTGGTGCTTCCCTTTATACTGCCCTATAGCTAATTCAATAACTTCCCTAGTAAGTAATATTTACACACTTTCCCTCCCACTTCTTTATATCATCCTGCACGAGCTGCTCAAATATCCATCTAGCTAAATCTCCTCGACTAATAGTATATCCAACCTCTATGCCCTGCTCCACTTCATCTAAATTCCTATACGTATCGTCTTCCCAAACCCAGCCCACTCGCAGTGACGCTGTCCCTTTCATGCGACCGTGTGTCAATAAGGGTGGTCGCAACATCACATACCCACCAAACGGTGAGTTGTCTTCTGTTGCTGCTTCCCGTACCACTCGCTCAAGTACTCCTGTGTCGGCCTGCGCAACTGGTAGAAGCCACAGATAGAGTGGAATCAGAAGCAACGGCTGGTCTCGCTGCGTACCATGGCCCGTAGACGATATTGGTACGAAAACTGGTGACTTCGAAATGGCCTTGCTCGCTTTAAGCTCTCTAAGCGACTCCACGACGGCCGCGGCCGAGTCTCCGGTAATAGTAGCGTCCTGCATTGAGATTGGGCGAAGAGGGTTCCAGTGGAAGCTTGGCAGACTCGTGATGCCAGTGAAGATGATATCTGGCTCATGTCGAAGAAGGTTGCTGACCGCAGTTATATCGCGGGAAGAACCCTCAACTATGGCCAGATGGGATACCAGGATCTCTTCCGAGACATTGTTCTCTGTCAAGATCTTCCTGAGCTTGGAAGCATCTCTGACCACTAGGGACGGTTAGCGAGAGAGATTCATCCATTTTAGCTGAAACGTACGAGCTGCCGCGTTGTAGCCGGCGAGCAATGTCCATGTGAGAACATGGCTAAGTGTTGCGCCACTGGCTCCAATAAACGCAGCTTTGACACCCATCAGGTTGGAGGAGTTCCACGACAGGTCGAGGGCGCAATCAACGGAGGTTGAGAAGTCAAGAGAAGAATTGTGCTTGGAGTCTTTGGCAAGGTATTTGTGATATTGATCAAGTCACTATGGATGTTTTTATCTTATATAGCCGATATTGCGGGATGAGTTTGGACCGACGGAGACGGCACGGAGGAATCGTAGAACGAAGCTTCAAGACACTCCGCCAAAGTCCGCAACTCATTTCAGCTTGCGCATCCCGCGGACGCCCGGCTCCAACAGGAGGCTTGATGGGGGTGAAAGAAGCCACTGACTGTCACATACGACCATACCCACTGGAGAACTCGGGATCCCGTCCGCTCTCCCATAGATAAGCCAGTGAGGGGCGGATTAGTAGTTGGGTCGGTGACGACCAGCGAATCCCCGCTGTTGTATGTTCTTTTTGCTGTCTTTTCATACTCCCTCATCAATGTTCAGTACATCACCCATCCACCACTCGCGCTCAGACATTGGCCCGTTACCCACCGACTTTCTTCTGACGCCAACCACGCAACAATTTGGGCAACATCATCAACTGATCCCAGTCTATTTCCCGCAGGCGTTTGTGCTTTTTGCATCGCGACAATATCTTGAGGAATGTTTTCCAACATCTCGCTCTGCACAGGCCCTGGGTTCACAGCGTTGGCAGTGTGTCCCTCTTCACCTAACTCCGCAGCCCAACAGCGCGTCATGCCTTCCAGTGCAGCTTTGGATGAGCAATACAAAGAGAGGTCTTTAAATCCGTACCGTGCGCCAACAGACGAGATGTTGATGATTCGACCACCGCCTGTGGACGGAAGATAAGGCTTTGTAGCCTGGAGGAGGAGCAGTGGAGCGAGGACGTTGAGGTGATAGATGTAGTCAAAGTCGGTGGTTGTAAGATCAGTGTGACGCTTTACCAGCTCGGCACCTGCGTTGTTGACCAGAATGTCGATGTGAGGTCCAAACGCGCTGATGGCTGGCTCGATGATCTTTTTAGCGCTGTCAGGCTCTCGGAGGTCTGCCCGGACACCAACGCATTGAGATGGAGGCTCAAGTGAGGCGATCTTCGCTAAAAGCTCCTCAACGAGTTTTTCGCTGTTTGGAGATGTATATGTTGCCACAATCTATGATCCTATTAGAAACTCGTTGCTCTTTCTTTTCAGGATCTTAATGGGAACTCACCTTGGCACCTCTCCGGGCCAACTCAAACGCGAAGCCCGCACCAAGCCCTCTAGAAGCACCTGTGACAATGGCGACTTTGCCCTTGAGGGTTGGGAAATTGCTTTGCGGGGGATCCATGGCATTGGCGGTGAGGGAATAAGAAAAGTCAATTGATGGTAGACGGAAATCAATGTTCGTCATGTATTGAATGCTATTGAACAGGTCGAATCACGTTTATATAGACAGTTACTGGTCCAATTGTTTATCGCCGATGGCGATAAGTGGCTTGTTCTTCGGCGATAAAGTTGGCTTGCTGACACCGACGTCACTGGTCCATAGCTTAGACATCTCCACTTTGCCACCTTGCCTCGAGGCTTCCTTACAATATCTTCATCGTTCTTGGTGGTGAAGCCAATTGGGTTAGATTTGCTGGACCGAGAATAATCGGCCGAAGATGTGAATGGAGGCAGGAAATTCGTTCCGTACCTGAGCATCTTGCAAATAGTCTCACCAAACTGGTCCTGAGCCCAGTTTAGGGTAGGATCATTGAATAAATAGCAAAGTCTTAGTTTTTATTACGCAACTTATGACTTTTGCCACAAGGGCAGTGCTTAACAATTAACAATAGATACCTTTAGACGCGGTATTAAAGAGGCTAGTTATTTAAATACCTATGAATCACTGTGCAGTTGGCCACGTGCTTTTCCCGTCCACAACTGGGAGGCTGGGAGTCAAGTCCAAAAACTCCAAAATACACAACCCCAACACAGCAACTTTGAAAATATCCCAAGAGCCATCTTCCGCATCAGGCCTGTCTTCGAAAGGTTATCTTTACTATTCATTCGTTGTAAAATCGTGGCTGTCCTTGGTCGTCCTACAAGCCATTTAAGCAAAGCATGGGTGGCCTAACAAACCGGTCACCTCCTACCCGCTGCCGTTCTGTCTAGAAATCAAGATGCGGCACACCCAAATATGATAGTGGACAGCAGATCAATCCTCTTGGAAAAAAAATCCTGTTCGAAGTATCTTTCCTCATGTTCTGTCGGGGACTCGGCTCTTTGTCTACCACCGACAAGAACCAAACAGAAGATCAAGGCGCGGAATAATTGCAGCGCTTCACCATAGGCGAGTCACCGAGTGCCTCATGCTCAGGTGTTGATTGGCACTCCGTCCCAAAAGTGCACGACACCAGAGCTGCCATCTATCTGGCCGCGGTCGCGGATCGGTCACTTTCAAGGCGTGATATTGGCTCCGTTGATGCCATTGGTAAGGGATATTGGGATGCGCGCCAACGCTCAAGGTCCTAACATCGCTTTTCATAGCTCAACACAATTGCCGAGTATGCATCATCTGGACTAGGTAGGATGCCATATAAGATGAGTGCCGACAACTTGGCTAACTAGAGACGGCGGTAGTAGCATGGCGTCATCCACGCTGAAAATTGAACATTGACCGATATTTAACAACAATGTTTGGACGCTTAATATTGACGCTGTCGATCTTCATTAGAGGGTTGTGCATTTGTTACTGTGTAACGTGCCCTCGACTTACCACCCTTGCATTCACGCCATCTTCTCTGGTGTAGTGCCTAACTCAGTTGGTGTCTTTTGGCCGGCCAGCCTGGAAGAATGCAAGCCAGCAATTGCCGATAAAAGTGATCAGACTCTAAAGTATTGTCGATCTTTTGTGATTATGTCTCAGACACTATGAGCCCATCGACTCCAAAATCACGTCGCAAGATCACAATACACAAAGATTCGAGTATTCAGCTCTGGGAATGAGGCTAGCATGTCGATCTGTTGCGCTGTGGGCGCACAGCTTCCGTCAAGTCTCCCAAGACAGGGGAGTAATTTGGATTATAAAAAGCACAAGAAATGCCATGAAAGTCAACACAAAATATTCAGAGCAATAGCATCTTCAATCTTGTCTCTTCCATTCACTTCCAAAATGCGTTTCAACCCATCCGCTTTGGTCCTTGCCGTTCTGGCGGGCACCGCCATTGCTGGCCACTCCCGTATGTTGCACTCCAACCTGAGAGAAGACACGTGCAACTATGAACTTGCTGACCTTTGACTTCGTTTCTTTGTTCCAGATATCGAGGCCCGTGTTCCCCAGGCGAACGATCCTCTTTCATTTCTCTCTGGGCTTAGCTACGCTCCAATCACTGATTTGCTGAACCAAGTTCTCGGCCCTCCTCTGAGAAAGGTACGTATCCCTGTTCAGCTCTTTTTGACGGAATATTGAAGTATAGTCCATTTTGAACGAGACTTTTCTGTTACCAATACACAAGCTGACCATCATACCATGAACCTAGATTGAAGATGCCCTCAACTTTACCCTGACTCAGAAGCTTACGGAAAGCCTTCAAGGTGGCGCCCCGCTTAGTGTCTTGGTTGCTGTCGTTGAAGCCCTTGGAGAGCTCCTCAACGGGGCTGACATTGGTGCTGTTGACAAGAATCTCGCTGTCAATAGTAACGGCTACTTTGACTCGCTGGATAGCGCTTTGGGTGTTGTCAACATCGGACAAGCCGTCAAGGGCATTTAGACACCTGATTTTGGCGTCCTGACTACATTGAACGGTCACATTGTACGGGACCTTTGTAGGCCACATTTAGGAGGTGTCCGGGTTGGGTTGAAGTGTGTGCTGCCTGAAACTTATTAGCTCAGAGGATTATAATTCGTATGAGGACTTATTATATAATATATAAATGCTTCATGATACCTCGCCTCCGTCAAAGAGCAACTAAAGCCGGAGGGAAGCCTCATTGCTGTTAGGATAGGTTGATCGTAGAAATGGACCAAACATGACTGACCGATCGCGTGGGAGTCGAGCCACACCATGCCCTCAGCACGTCCCATTGCAATTCCTCCAAACGCTTTGACTGATATCAAGAATGCGACCCAAATCTTCTTCTGGATTTAATTCTGCGCCTCAGTTCTTACATCTCCCGACAGAGGACCCTGGCTCATTTCTATAGATGTTGCATTCTGCCTGCAACGCGATGCAGTTCCTTTTACGGCCAGTTGACACTTGGCTTATACCTTTGAGACTCCTTTATTATTAGCCTGGTATGCTGTTGCGGTAGCGTCGCTGTGTGAGTAGACAGACAAGCAACTGCCCAACAGTAGCATAAATCTTGAATGCACAACCCAACTTCATTGTGTATGCTGATCCTTTATTGGGATCATATATCGCACTCTGGTAAGTACATAGAGCATATTCCCACACCATTGGATTGGGCAGGATTCTATCGGAACTATTCGCCGCCTAGAGGCCCTTGACCGTCATCTTCAGGAAGCCAGGGTCATTCTCAATCTTCTCCCGCAAAGGCCCAGTTTGAAGCTCATCAACGTCCCAGTTTGCCCACACAAAGCGACCATGAAGGTACTCAGCCTCGTCCGATGCCGCCCACACGGCAAAGTCACCAGGAAGCTTGACTAGTTGGGTTATTAGCTTCCATGACCTTGCAGATGGACAACGTGGCATTGCCATCTTCAACTTACTATCGTCCCAAGGGAAGCTGTCCGCCTCTGCGAACCGTTGGAAAGACTCGGTGTAGTGCATGCCTGGGTTCATGCTAATGATCTGCATCTCCTTGGCGGGTGTCGCGTATGCAATGGTCTGCATCATTGCGGTGGAAGCGCTCTTTGTAAGGGAGTAGAGGGGAACAGGGCCAGCCAGGTCTGGGGAGTGTACAACAACGGACGTGAGGTTGATTAAGAACTAGAAAGGAGTTCACCCATATTAGCTTCCATAGGTCTGTAGGAGTTGCCGATGTAGTGTCTGAGCTCCAGCAAACAGGGATCTGAACACTCACCAGCTTTTTTGAAGGCTGCGTCTCCCGTTGCTTATAGAACCACTCAATCCAAAGGAATGGCGAGACTACATTGAATGCAAATCCATCCTTCACAGTCTGGCTTCCCAGTCCAAGAAGGGTGTTTGGCAGCCACATCTTGGCCGCATTCAGAACCAAAATATCCACAAAAATGCCGTCCTGTTGAAGGCCACTCCAAAGCTTCTCCACATCTGTATCATCTCCAAAGTCGCTGACCAAACCAAGAGTCTCTACTTTTGGATACGCCTGCTTGATCTTTGCCAAGGCTTCATCCAAAGCACTCAGGCGACGACCCGTCAAAATGATGCGTGTTGCACCAGCAGCACCAAAAGATTTGGCAATACTAAAGCCAATCCCAGTAGAGCCGCCAGCGACGAGAACTGTACGGCCAGCCTGGGAAAGCTCAGAGCGAGTTGGAGAGATAGAGGGATAGGATTCGCGATGGATAACGGAGGTGAGGGAGCCGCTGGGAGTATTGAGCGAATCCCATGGGTTTTCCTTGCGTGGGGAGTCTGTAGGGGCCGACATCATGTAGATTTTGCGGTGCAGGTTATAGGTGATATTGAGCTCGATGATAGATGTGAATGTGAGGGAGACTAGGTCCTTTTATAGAGACCTTATGACTCTCGATGCGTTCAACGTTGGCATCTTCACTTTGTAAGCCCCCTTTCATCTCGGCGTTGCGCCATGAACTGAACCCGCAAAATTTCCGTTCGATAACGAATATCCCTCCTTCGTTGCAAAATCCTCCCATCACTCTAATATCTGAAGACTCGATGCATGGCCCGGGTCAACGTCACGTTGCTAGGTGGATCCAATCAAGCCCAAACTCCCGCAAGGTTTCCGCAACATTTCCGCACAAAACCCGCAAGACAGCGGGCTGACAAATGCAGATCACGAACCAGACATCCATTTGCAACGCGTCTTGCCTTCGGACTCTCACAAGTTCCCTTCCACCCGCCCGCAGAGCCTCCTACCGTTTCCGCAGAACTAGTTGACACTATGGGGTCTGCTAGAAAGTTGAAGGCTTGTTATGCCTGCACAAGCGGAAAACGACGATGTGATAAGGCTCAGCCAACGTGTGGCCGCTGTGAAGATCGAGATATCGATTGTCATTACCCTCCCACAAAGAGGAGGAGAGGAAATACGTTCGAGGACGGCTGCAGCAACGCCCCTTGCCAATCTTCAACCAATGACGGCACATTGGATTCTACGACGATTACCTTCTCAAACGAGGCTGAGGATCTTATCGACTTGAATCAGTGGACACGAAGCCTGATTAACTGGAACGCTTTAACAGACGATCCCTTGCCTCTGTCGCATGGCCTTCAACTGCCATCTATACCACAAGAACACCAGAATCCTCCCGTCTCAAACCTTCAGGGTCCTTCTATATCGTCAACAGAAATACAGGACCCGGCAACGTGCCAATCAGCCACGAGTACCACGGCGCTCTCGAGTCCAGCCAACAGTCTCGGATTCTTTTTTGCGCCCGAATCTTGGACAATACGCCATCTTTCGCTTAATGCCCCGACATTTTCTTCATCTGTTTGTATGAACTATATACGCGGGATACAAACATGGTTCACCGACTGGGTTGTCCACTGTCACAGTCCCTTCATTCATCGCCAACTATACGCTGACACAGGGTTCCCCAACTCTATTCAAGACGCCTTCACCGCAATTTCAGTACACAACACCAAAACACCAGCCAATGAGGCCGCCATCGATGAGATCCTCGAGGCCCGGGTTGCATCACTTCTCAAATCATACCAAGATTCCTATCCAAGTAGTAGCCAGGGCATTGGGGTGTCTCGCGCCCTTGAGACACGAGAGCACTTGGCTCGTACACAGTCCTTGCTTGTATACCTAGTCCTGGGCTTGTTTTCGCCTTCCATAAGGGCTCGAGCTAATGCCGAGAAGCGCGTTCAGACTCTCCTTCACTGGACCCGCCAGCTTTGGGATGCTGCCCCTCGCGACCCGGATATCTGCCAAAGCCCAGAAGGCGATTTGACAGCATTAACGAGCGCTTCAGCAGCGGATGAGTTCTTTGACGGCGATCCCTTACCACGATTATGGCGATCCTGGGTTCTCTCAGAGAGCATACGGCGGACCTGGCTTCTAGCAACCTCGATGATAGGAGTCTATCTCACGATACGGCAAGCATGGGCAGAGTGTCAGGGTGGCATCCAGTTTACAGCCAGTGCAAACATCTGGGACGCAGAATCTGCCTCCAGTTGGGCAAAAGAGTGTCGAAATGCCGATCCACTCTTCATTTGTAGCTTGGACGGTGAAAGCCTGTTCCGCAGCGCAAAGGCTGTTGAGGTTGACGAAATGGCGAGAAACCTCTTTACCATCATGTGGGGAGCTGAAAGGGTTGAGGCTTGGGTATCTAGAACAGCAAGTGACAAAGATGGCGTGCGTTTAACGTATTGATCTTGAGTAGGCCGGCATCTGAGACAAGAGCAGATCCACTGCTGCTGGAGCAACATGCTTCGTTCTACTAGGTCCACTTAGCACGGCTTCATGAGACAGTATCAGCCGAGGCCGGGCCTTGAAGACCTGAGTGAAAGAACACTGGAGGCTATACAAGTTGCATTCATAAAAATGTTAGTGTCTAAATGCTGATCAGTTTCTCTACCACTGTTGTGTCGACATGCCAGCTTCCTTACACGTAGAGACATTGAAGTCATTATGCAGTCCCAAAGAGCGCATTCAGCCGAATGGGGGCATTCAATGGTTTATCAATGACGAACTAAAGAGACTTCAGTCAAGAATGCAACCAGGCACAAGATTCAGCGGCCTCGCGGGCTAATATGAGCCGCGGTGGATACAGCGTCACATGTCAACACCGGCATTCATAAACCCCGTCGGGGAAACTTGGAGCAGCATGTGCCGGGCGCAACACGTCACCATCTCGGAACCTTTTGCCGACGGGGATGTTGACAGGCCAAGGATCCGACGCCTCAGTCACGCCAGGTCAGGCAGGTCCAACGGAGTCTGGGCCCTATTGTTTGTTATCCCTTATATCCGTCTGACTTCCAGGTATTTCTGTTCCGAAGCTCCCGGCATCTTCGTTTTCCTCTGCACAACCCCCCCAATTCCGAGATATCCGATAGAGACACACATTGCTCTTTATTTGGCTATCAGCAGCAGAATGCAACCTTCCACTGGACGTCTTTTCGGTGGTCAACATTTCAGCTCACCTTTGAACCGCGAATCAGCCTGTGCATATTCCCTTTTCGAAATTCGGTGAGTATTTCGCTAGAGTCCCAGTTTTGATGTCAGATGAGAAATGATTCTAACGATCGGATCTCCAGACTCGAGAGAGATGTCATTGTGTTTCGGGGCGGCCAGGATGAAGCCACCGACCAGATTTTGAAAGGGGCTGTGGTGCTCTGCTTGAAATCACCACTCAGAGTCGAAACAATTCAACTTTGTTTCGGGGGTACTCTCCGCCAGTCGTACGTGATACACAGCTAATATTTCAAGTCTTGAGCTTGAGCAATTGCACAGGCACATTGAGCTAACTATCGGGAGGTGGACGTCGGACCCGGGCATATGTCATAGCAATGCCATACTCATGCACAAATGGCCTCCATTTGTGAGGGCGGATGACAAGAGCACGACCTTGCCAGCTGGAAACTACGAATGGCCGTTTGAGTACGTTATCCCAAGCGGCACTGCCGAGACGGTTGAGGGGATGCCTGAAGCAAGCATCATTTACAGCCTGGAGGCTACTATGAACCGAAGCAAACTGGTGCGCCAACAACATGCTCGAAAACGAGTTCGCATAATCCGCACGCTACCTCTCACCGCTCTTGAGTTTGTGCATACGATGAGAATCGAAAATCTCTGGGCCGACAAGATTGACTACTCAGTGACTATTCCTACAAAGGCGATAGTACTTGGTGGCTCAACCACCCTGGACATGCGATTCACACCCCTTGCAAAAGGTCTCGTGTTAGGGCGCATCGAGGTGACTCTGTGGGAACTTTGCGAGTTTTCAGCTCAAAGCAGGCATCGAATCTATTCAAGGGATCACCAGGTTCAGCGTACCGTCAAGCGCTGGGAGTTTGATGCAACCGATGAGGACTGGCAAGACTGCATTGAGGAGACCGGAGAGGAAGGCTGGGTTATGAAAAGGACTCTCGACATCCCAAGGAGACTGTGCGAATGCATCCAAGACTTGGAGGTACAAGGCATCAAGGTTAAGCACAAGATTAAGGTGTTTATCCCACTGCGAAACCTGGATGGACATATGTCCAAAGTGAGTAATGCCTGAAGCCAATTGCAAGATGTCTACTAACAATTCAAGCTCGACATGGCTCTGCCAGTCCACGTTTTTATCTCACCAAATATGCCTCCAGATGAAGAAGGTAACATCGCCCACCACACGACAGGATCACCAGGCTCGATGCCTGGAATTGATGTACCACCAGAGTATGGAGAACATGTGCTCGACCAAGTATTTGATCATAGATCTGGCTGGCAACATACTACATCTCAACAAGATTCGAGTATCCCAACATCCTCCTCGCCTCGCGCCAACGCATCACGGCGACTTATATCAGCAACTTGCACTCAGACAGAGCACCGGGCCGACTCTAGCGCCTCAACATTGCAACCCAACGCTGCTGATGTAACAACATATATATCGTCTGAGACGATCGATGAATCCATCGAACTGGCTGAATTAAGCAGAGTCCCTACATACGGGACAGCGGTGCGGAGCCCCTTGCGCTCTCACGTAGAACCCGGAGACTCCTTGCTTCCTGATTACATGACAGTAGTTTCAGGCAGAGAAAACGAAACTCGTTGTTAGTTCGTCATCAAGTGCAAGTTTGCTTATCCTGGAATTGCGTTGATTGCCACTACGCCAGGCACTTCGTCTCTCATAGGGGTCATCCCAATAGAATGTGTGTTAATGCCATCGGTTACTTAAATACGAAAGACGCTACCAAACGCTTTCCAGCCCGTTCACGCCAATAGGCTTATCAGCCAATGTCGTGATTCGGAACCCATGGCGCAGCCCTTCCTGTGGGTTATGCACATTGTAGTCATTGACAGCGGTGTGAGCAGTAACTCTGTTATCCCAGAGTGCAACAGTCCCTTCTTCCCATCTTACTCGAGCCTGGAAGTCCTGTCCTTGTGCGATATGCTGTTGAGAACAGTTAACTAAGTGACTTACTTGGCAGAAATATGAAGGCAGGACAACTCACTTTGAACAGAATCTTGAGCAATCCGTCTGATTCCTCTTGCTTAAGTCCGATGATACGCTTGGTGAAACCAGGCTGGATAAACAACGCCTTCTGTCCAGTGGCCTAATCATCATTCAATAAGCTGGCACGGCATGTGAAATTCATAGGTGGTCTTACCGGATGGATCCTGACAATGGGATGCTCACTCTTTACAGGCTCCCGTCTCACATGACGGCCATCTCGGCGCGCCTTTTCTGCCTGTGGGTATCCGCTATGCTCGGCGCGCAGACCCTCCAGAAGAGTCTTAATCGGGGTGCTCAGTCTAGCATATGCAGCAGTTTGGCTTGCCCAAATCGTGTCTCCACCTGAAGGAGGTACAGACAGCAAAGTCAGGATGGTGATACCTGGTGGTTGGTGCTCGTATGACACATCAGAATGATAGCCTATGGTAGACAGCTTATCAAGCTTGCTCTCGTTCCGGTATTCGTTGTCTGGACCAAGATAGATGTTGTGGAACTCCAGATGGTCCTTGATGTGAGCTCCAGTTGGCTATGAAACGCCTTTAGTTAGACATCCCGACCTCGAGAGGATGAAAAGGCATAGGTTTGGTATGTCTCACATGGATGTGCAGCGGGCCAAAATAGCGACCAAACTCCTTCTGCTTTTGAATGCCGATGTCTTTGAAATCCTGTTCACGGAAAACAACGACACCGCGCTCGGCAATCAAGAGGGCCAGCTCGTCTTTTTGCAGATCATTCAACTGAGAAAGCTGGAGGCCACGAATCTCAGTTCCGATAACGGGGGTTATCTTGGAAACCTGAAAATCGGAATTGCCTTCTGGAAAGAGGTTGGATTTGGCCTTATTCGCAACCAGTCCACGGTCGTTGAACTCAAATGGCTGAAGTGGTGGAAACGTAGTGGTCTCATCGTACACCGGGAGATAAGCGCCATATTTGTACTTGCTTCAAGTTAGTGACACACAGGTCTCCATGGAGTTCAGTGGTCTCACTTGATTGTGAAGGGTAGTGTCAAAGGCTAACTTGACCGTGGTGGTCGAGCCTGAGGTCTGAGTGGTGGTAGTAGACATGTTGGCTGAAGCGTATGAGGTAGAAAGTATGAATGATCAGCGTCTAAAGCCCAGTATCCAGGCTCATGCGGCGCATATTAATACTTTGGTTTCTAACGTTTCTTTAGAATCACGTTCTAATGTAGCTATCACGTCAGTTTGCGGAGTATTCATGACATCCTCATCCAGACCTATGGGGTTGAAGCAGAAATGCAGCAGACAAGAAGGGTGTGGTCACACAATTTTAGCGTCTGGATAACGAAATCCTTTTCTTTGTCTGTCGCCCTTCACTCAATGATCTACAAGAGGCCTGCCTGCATTCGGAGTCGATCGGGTGGGTTGATGACATTGGAACGCGCGCGCACGCCATCTGCCAGCATCGTTGTCCAACCACAGGCACACTCGCTACACTGTACTAGATAAAGTCGTATCAGATAAGATACATGCTTACAAAATGAATGGTTCTATTCGGCATTATGCGATGATCTGGGAAGGCTCCCACACCACAGCTCCAACCCGCGCAACAGGAGGGCATTTACCCCAGTAGGTTAAACTGACTTCACACATTCTGCTAAAGTGTCGTTGCCTTTAAGGTAGCTGGTACTCAGAAGTACCTTCGTTTCCAAGTCCTACAACCTACCGTCTATTCGATATAAATCTCGTTGCTCAACTATTGAGTGATGGAATGTGAGTCAGGGGTAACGTTTGAAGCAGATTCAATCCTCCAGTCGAGCGCCAGGGCGAGACTTCAGCAGCATAGCGTCCTGATTAGTCATAGCAAGCCGCGTTGGCTCAGTGGTAGAGCGTATCACTAGTACTAGTACTCCTAGTACAGTAGACATGATAAGGTCCAAGGTTCGATCCCTTGACGTGGCAGTGTGACACCCAGCTGGTTCATAACCCGGCTCTTCTCTTACTTTTGTCAGTTTTGCTGCCTTTTCCACCCGGCGCTTCTCCATGATAGCAGCAAACAACCAAGTAAGCAGGTGCTCTGGCGTGTCTAGATATCCTCTTTTCTTTTTTACACAAGAAGAACCATCCACGAGTAAAGGGCAATTAATGCAAGATGGTGCCGCTTGTTTTACTTTCTTGTCAGGTCAAAGATAAAAGCATATGTACTTGCATTCCTACTTGCACCACAGAATGTGTAGTGTCAGCACAATTCATCTCCAAGAACTTACTTCGTGAAGTGGTGCATCTCCCCAAGAATAAGATATTAATGTGAATGTTTTCCATTTGCTCACTAAACCAAGACCTATTTATCTTCATGATGTTTTGCCAAATACCACAGTAGAATGTCTGTTAGTCTGGACTTGCGGTGCCCAGAAGAAATCACTGGTGTGTGCCTGATGGGGTTACAGGCGCTGCGAGCACTTGAAACAACAGCACATTACAAGCCAGTGCCATGAAAATTGTTCAATGTGAACATTAAATTCACAATTGTCCATTGCGCCTTAGAAAACTAGGGTGCAACACATGCGCCAATCGGTGCTTCGCGATGTCCAAGCTGCGGGCTCCAGAGACCGTTCGAGACCTAGCTGCGGAAACACTAACGTCATTGACAGCCCACAGATTGACCCACCGATAGGTTCAGGGTTCCATGCAGCTCCAGATGGTTGAAACGAAGTGGCCGGTATAGACAGCCGGATGGGGCGCTTCGGCGGCACGGACAATGGGGATGCTCCCGCCTTCCCGGGCACTCGGGTGTTTTGGCCCCTCAAAGGCCAATTCCATCTCGGAACATTGATCAACAGGGTTCCGAATGCTTGGGCATGATTCATATCGGCTACTGCCGTGATCAAGCATCGGTGCAAACACCGGTGCGAGCTTTGCCGCGTATAGGTCGGGTTCATCTTGCCTTCACTGGGTGTGTAACTTGGCAGTGCACCCCAGCAGAAGGGAACTGACTGCCACGATACCTAAGAGGCCGAGAGCTGGTACCTTTTTCTGATGTGTAGGGTAAAAACACCTGGTTACATGTACCCTTTCACGAGGATTATTTACCCATCCAGAAAGCAATGTCCAGGACATAGGCGTGTATTAGATTCTCTAATCGAAATATCTACAATCAAGTCCCTGGAGCCGGGACTTCACGACGCGGTATGGAATCTTCACTAAGAATGTTCTTTTTGCCGCTTAAAATACGCTACTACGTGAGACTCTTCGATCGTGCAACCTCACCCCATCAGTCTATGTTCACCCCTTGTGTTCCGAAGATCGGGTCGTGAAAACAAGCCATCACCAACGCGGTAAGAACTCGTTTCGTTTTGGTTTGGCCTAGCTCTCCCACTTCCCGCTCCCGCAGCCCTGGCGCCGGGATTCTACACACGCCTCCATTCTCGAGATAGCTTCATGCACAGTCTGGGGACTGCATTTATAGCTCCCCCATAGAAACCAGAATAGCCAATCAGTTGCATCATGTTTCGAGCCTTACCTGTATTTTCTGGGCCAAAACAAGCATGGCTCACCACAGTGGAGATATCCTTGTGCCACGATGACATTCTTGTAACACTAGTCTGCGGCTTAGAGTTTTTCCAACCGCTCTCTGACGTGGCGGGAGGACGACAGCTACAACAAAGTGCTTCTATAGACGAATGATGAGTCGTTGGTACAACCTACCACGGGTTTTCCAGCTCATTTCACACAGCCTCATTTCACGCTGAAGGTATCCTGCGAGAGTTACCAGTTGCCGTAACTCCCATGATGCGACATTTTGCGGTGCCCCTTTTCTCTCCCCTGGAGTTTAGTGACTGGACGCGTACTCTCAGTCGTGGAAATCCTGGTTTTCCACGTAACACCAGACTCGCACGACATGGTAGATCAATGTGACGAAAAGATTGATGCATATACCGCTCTCTTCCTGAAAATGATTAACAGTCATTCAAAAACAGTTGTTACAGCATCGTGAACTCAAATTAACAATTGGACAATAGACCATAACAACAATCCATCAACAAGTCACCGCCAACTCTTCACTCTTAATCGACAAAGAGGGAGCTACCACCTTCTATCGACATCAAAGGTCATGTCGAACACAGATTCACCTGTGGATCAGAGCCACATCTTTGGCCAGCTCATTGCCTGGGACAACATCTCAATGCTGTGCCAAATCATTGCCGCTTGTATCATCCCTTTTGTTATCATCTACTCGATCCTCACGGAGAAGCCTACACCTACGGCTCCGCATCTCCTTGAAGAACAAGGCGAAATTTCGGACGACCCGACTGGGCTTCATTTAGTCTGGTAGAAGTGCAGTGAGTTATTCATCTTGGCTGGAGAGACGGCGCTGATGGAGAAGTAGTGTATGAACTCTACTCATCTGATTGAAAATCGTACGAGGCATGATCATTTCAAGGGCGTGTAGTTAGCTACCCGCTAGGACAGCATGGGTAGGAGATAGGGAGAGAGTTCACAGGGCATTCCGAATGTGTTCGTAATTATTTGCCTTATTCGTCAATTGGCTAGTTACCACGTTTGAAGTTATTCGTAAAATTAGATTTTATTACCACACTTTGGCTCGTTTTACACAAGTTGACACAGCTCAAGAATTTCTACTGCCATTGCAATGAATCCAGCCCCTTAACAAACCCGGGGCTCTAAGTAACCACCTACGTAACAATCCAGAATTTCGAGTGAGATCCTCATCTCATGTTCTCAATGTTCCTTCTCGTAACACTGTTTCCTCTTACGGCTGACGAAGCCTCTCCAGCCGGACTGTCGGTGTGCCACCATTTACCCTCATTGATGGAGGCCGGAACTTTTGCAAGAGATAATCCAATAGTTCGAAAGTGGAGGCTTCTTGCTGGTTCCCCCATGGTTGTTACGCAGATCCAGAATCGACGTGATAACTGCTGACGAGCAATCTCGCTCCCACATCACGAAAAATCCCAGGAAGACACCACGTTCAAGGCTAATAGTACTCCTACCAACGAGGCTTGCGATACATTCGCGGTGTACTTCGGAATAGCGGCATGCTTGCGGCTGCGCCTGGGTGGAGAGTATCCACGACGCGTCACCGTATGTTTGAAGCCAAGTTCGTTAGCCAGGCAAGATGAACTTCAGACCATGGCTCTCGAGGATAAATATCGCCTCGGTTCCCGTCTAGAAACACATCTTCACTCAGCTCATCATCTTTCAATCACTTCAATACACTCGCTTACTTCCACCTCCCAACCACACTCTTTTACTCTCATCAACTTTCGTTCAAGTTCACCACACTCTCTCAAACCATCACAATGAAGACCTCCGTCGCTCTCCTTTCTGTTTCTCTGGCCTCTGCCATGGCCACCCCTCTGACTCTTCGGGCTCAGAAGTGCAACGTCGCTCCCACTGCCTCGGCCAAGACAAACATCCAACCTTACGATGTTGCCGAGGCCGCCACCGCTGAGGAGTGCCAGACCATCTGCGAGTCTGATGAGGCCTGCCTCAGCTTTCTCTTTGGCCTTACGGCTCATGCCACTACTCCCTCTTGCCTGCTCTACAAGGTCCCTGCGGCTCAGGTTCCTGCTCGCAGCGACGGCCTCCATGTCTTTGACAAGGCCTGCTCTGCTACGCTCGTCCCTACCACAGCTCCTACCCATGCCCAGCCCTGGGGTACTGCTCCCAAGAAGGTCTCTGTTCGCAGTGAGCAGAAGTGCAACGTCACTCCTACCGGCTCCATCGACAAGAAGATCCAGCCTTACCAGACTTCCACCAAGGCCTCAACCGCCGAGGAGTGTCAGACGCTATGCGAGGCTGGCGATGCCTGTCTCAGCTTCTTGTTCGGCCTCCCCGACAACTGCAGGGCCCCTGTCTGCAAGCTTTACAAGGTTGCAGCTGCTGAGATCCCCATCCGCAGCGACAAGCTGTTTGTCTTTGATAAGGCTTGCCCCGCCAAGCTGGTCCCGGTCACCGCTCCCACTCACTCTGCTCCCCGCGGTCTGATTGCCAGCGCTGTTACCAAGACCACCAAGGCTAAGGCTGCCAACTCCAAGGACACTAAGGCTAAGGCTGTGGAGTCCAAGGCTGCTGAGCCCAAAAACACAATGGCCAAGACCACTGAGACAAAGAATATCGAGGCTAAGGCTGCCGAAGCTAAGGACTCCAAGGTCACCGAGACTAAGGGGACCCAGGCTAAGGCTGTGCAGTCCCAGGTCGCCAAGGCTAAGGATACTCAGGTCAAGGCTGTCGAGTCGAAGGATACCAAGAACCAGCAAGCCAAGGCCACTGTCGTCTACGGCAAGCCCGCTGCTACCTCTACCAAGTGCCAGACTCAGGCCAAGCAGACTGCCAACGCCAACACCAACGAGGTCTCCGGTGCTCAGAAGAGCAACTAAATTCCCGCTCCCTCGTTTTGAGAGCTTCCTAGCTCTATCAAACGAACAGCGGCGATGTGGATACACTGAGGGGGCTTGGAGGAGGAAAAGGGGTAATGAGGAGGTGTGGCGGAATTGGGGACATTGTTCTCGGTGACACTTTGGATGGAGGTTGATAAGTCTCGGGATGGTTTCTGTCTGTTCTGTTTGTGATATTTTGTTTTGCTTTTTAAGAGCACTTCTGCTCATCTAGTACAAATACATCAATCGGCCGATACAATGCAGTTACCACATGAGCAGTGACAAGTACAAATGAATCATTTCCAACTAGGCACACAGTTCTAAATGACACGGAATTTCCAACATAGGCCAACATAAGAATAATAGAAGATCAAAATGTCGCAAGAGCCTTATGGGACCAGAACAAGCCTCTTCGTCTGCGCCTCCTCGGACTCCCAGACATTCTGCACATCCGACATGGGGAAAGCATAAATCTCAAAGGGTTGCTTCATCCGACAGAGCGCGTTTACCAGTCCAGGGATCTCCCTCTTCAACTCTTGTTTGCTGATGCTTCCAATGCCAGACGCCATGACACGAATGGGCTTGACATTAAGCAAACGGCCTGGCAGGACCATGTTCTGCTCACCACTAAGACCGCCGATCTGAATGTACTGCAAGTTCTCGCCGCGTTTGATCTCAGCAGCCTTCATCACCTCGACGCCAGCAGGTCCTCCAACGTAATCAAGAACGATGTCAATAGGGCCGACACTGGGAGGGATAGACAGAGGGGTTTGCATCACAATGCGTTCGTCGAGACCCTCAACCGTGGCAAGGGTTTCCTCAGTACGAGAAATCCCCACGACACGAGCGGCGCCCAGCTCACGAGCCACGAATGCAGCAGCTCGACCGCTAGCGCTGGTGGCTCCAAGAATGACAACCGTACGGCCCTCGCAGCCTCCAATGGCACGACACTTCAGCGCAAGCCAGCTGCTCATCGTAGGATTGGCGAGTGCAGCAATGGTTACGGGGTCGACGCCTGCATCCAGCTTGATGAGCTGAGCTTTTTCGACATTGGCGCGCTCGCAAAAGACGGGAGCCGCAAGACTGCTGATGAAGTACATGTCTCCTGTAGCTTCATCGAGTCCGACGCCATCGATGCTGGGGTCATAAGGCAGTGCTGAATTGAATGCGCTAGGATGTTTGCCGGAGGCACGGTGTTGGACAACTCGGGGCACTCCAGCGGCCAAGACTTTGACTTGGAGCTCATTGGATGAAGGGGATGGAAGATCTGGAACATCCATGTACTCGGGGGGGTTACCCCAGGAGGTGACGCGTGCGGCCTTCATTGTGAAAATGGGGAGTGCAAAAGGTGTTTTTGATGAGAGTTGATAGAATGGAAAGGTGATGAATGCGGATGCGTTTGAATTGGAGATTTTGAAGATAATTGTTGGTAGAGTCATGCCATTATATATGTTCTTTAATATTGATTCAATCAACATGTTTCCCATGTACACGAGTCTCATTGTCTCTAAGCTGACGAGGTCCGGGGAAATCGGGTGCCATTAAAAACTCCGTTTCCGCCCACACCAACGAGTGATGTTCCAGTATCGCGTAGTGGAGCTGGGCTTTTCGGGGATTATCTTGTTCTCCCCAAGAATAGCCATCAGCCTCAATCGGTTTTGGACTTTATGGAGTCCTCCCTCATAGCCCGTTGCCGCTTTATCCGGCTTCATGTCTGTGCCAGCAAGCCTCTTCCTAGGATTGGCGTTGGTGGCTTCGCGTTGACCTGCTCCCAACATGCGACCGTGAGTGAGTTAGGCAATGGCTCACAATTAGCGAGGGTGGACATCAATTGGGGTGATAATCCCAGCTCCTTCATCCTAGCAAAGTAGGAAAAGAGGGAGTATCAACTAAATTTACGAATCACCCAGTGGTCATTCTCAACTTATTCAATCCCTTCAATTAATTACTACCTATCTTCATCCACAGTTACCCGCCCACTTATCGTCCCTGCTGGGAAAATCATGGTGTGCCCTGTGGAAAATCTCACATTACCCATGTAAACAGTGTGCATTTCAGCTCCATCAGCCTCGCCAGGATGCTGACGAGGAGCTTGTCTGATTCTCCATCCATTAGAAACCATCCTCCGGGGTATATCTCATCCTTCCAACAGCCGGCTCATGTGCGTCGTTTGCCACACCGGATCTTCGTCAACACAAAGAACAGAAAAGCCCTGTCGCTCCCAGAAACTCCGTGCGCCCGTCAGAAAGGGGTGGGTGTGTAGGTACAGTTGCTTGATCCCTGCTTGGCGTGCAGTCTGTTCCAGGGCAGTAAACAGCTTCGAGGCCAGCCCGGCCCGGCGCCAGGCTGGGTCGACGTAGAGCCGGACCACTTCAACGACTCGCTCGTGACTAAACTTGAGTTGTGGGAAACGTCCGTCGTAGTTAAGGTAGCCAATAGTTGCGATTAGACGACCATCGACCCGGGCCGTTAAAAAGGCTCCGTTGGAGTGCTCCAAGTAGGTTCCCTTGAAACTGACAAGCTCGCGCTCCACTGTCTCCTTGTGGGATTTCGGATCCAGCATCGGAAACATGTCGGCTCGGGCCTGTCCGACAAAGTCCAAAATGGCTAGAATCTCATCAGCCCTGGCTGTGCGGATGACAATGTCCATGGTGTCCGAGGTCTTTGGCTGAGGACCGCCTGGTGGCATTTTGTGATGGAACTCTCAGGATTGAACTTGGGCGCTTTGTGTTGAAACTACAGTGTCCCACTTCGTCAGATTCGTTGGGAATTGCGAGTTTCATCTCCCACAGCGAGATCGGCTTTACCTTTTATGCCTCACCTGACCCACCCAGTCCACTCAGCCACATGCCAAGATGCACAGCTTTTGTTTCCTTAGAGGAAGAGTAGTTGAGAGTAAGTCACGTAGAGATATGGCCGTATGTCAGATATCGAGTGGCAAACAGAAAGTGCCATATCCAGAGGTGCTCGGACCTCAAGTACGGATTACAGTGGGTATAAAGAAAGCCACACTAACTCGAGTTCTAGCCGGAATCTTGACTTCGGTATGTTAAGACAGAATAGCAGATAAATGTGTTCATGAGAAAACAAATTCATTATTCATTACAATCCAACCTGATGTCCTCGGAGCATAGTATCTTGCCAACATTGGATCAGTTGGGTAGGTCCACATTGAGTCCACCCGCCGGGTTCATAACTTCCATAACGATCTCAGACACTTTATCGGGCATACTAAGGAAGGGGCTGTGAGAAGCTTGTAGCCGATACTGTCTCACCGAGACGCCTTGCTCTTCAGCCTTGGCAATCATCATATCTTGCACAAACCCGGGCAAGGCTTGGTCATTTTCGCAAACAATGTATGTCAAAGGAATGACTCTCCATGCCACCTTGTTGCAGTCAATCGGGGTATACTGCACCTTGTGACCATGAGCAACCATGAGCTTTTCTGCCCATTGAGCCTCCTCCTGGGGAAGATCGTTGTACAGATGGCCGATGGGGTCTGTCCAGATGATGGTACCATTCGATATCGAGGTCAGGTACGGCGGCAATTGTCCTCCAAAAAGGCCAGCGAGTGAGTTGTTCTCTTGCGGGACAGAGGCGCACATAAATATGATGTCGGTGACACCACCCTTGCCAGATCCCGTCGTCACGGCAAGGTCTGCCAACGCTGCGGAAGCGATCATCCCGCCCCATGAGTGCCCAATAACCGTGAGCTGGGTTCCTCCGGCAGACTCTCTGGCGACTATGTCTTTGATGAAATTTACATCATCATCTGCTGTTGTATTTGGCGGTATGGCGTTGTTATTTGTGGGTAGCTGCTCGCAGATGGTCCTCAACCCCTTGGCTTCGAGTTGCTCAGTGAGCTTGTGATAGTGTTTTGGAACATGCCAAGCTCCTGTAATCATAAGAATGGCCTTAGGAGAACAAGACAATGTGAAAAAGAGGCGGATTTGTGGTGTTGTTTGCGATGAGGACAATGGCAAGCCTCCAAATGAGGTCGCGACGGACTTTTATGGCTGTTCTTCTATGTCAGCTTCCACGTCACATTTGTTTGTGACGTCACTTCAGCCATCGTCAGCTTACAATATGCAGAGATCATCGTAATACTAGATGTAACTAGTATCAAGTGCTGATTCTTTAAGGGCCGCTTTGTTTCAATAGTTTAATTGACCGGCATAGGCGAGCCGAGGCATGGGAACAGGGTCGGATGGATAATATTGCATTCTCGGTAATGGGTCCAGAAATGACATTCCAAGGCGGGAAGGACTATGAGTAAATCGGTGAAGTAGGGAAACAAAATATGTCAATAAAATCGGTGTCTATACTCAAGTGAGAGTTATCCATTGTCCAAAACCTCTTCTCCTTCCCTAGCTCTATAGAACTGGATTATCATATCAATCGTATCATAGCCAAATCAGAATTCCCTGGACTCTCCGACCCAACTCCTCATAAGTCAACCCAAACAAAACCGCGCGTATCAGATCCCGTACCATGCATATTTCTTAGTGCTCTGTGCATTCCGAGACTGGAATTTATGCAGTGGGATCCACCCGAACAAGGCATGAACCCATGCCAGGGACCTTGCCCCAGTGCTCGTGGGGCTC